TTGACCTGGCAGCACCTAAACTGGTCCTTCACCAGACGCTGAGGAATTTTGGGTTTAACGACTCAGGGTCTAGGACCAGGCAGCATCTCAGGGTAGGAGTAGCTCCACCATGGATGGCCTTGGCAGCATTTGCTTCCCTGGGTGAGATGTAAGCACTGTGGAATCCCCTCCTCATCCATTCCAGTGTGATATATTTCGAGATGGAGCCCTTGGGAAGTAAAAGGTGTAGATGAGGTCATGAGGGAAGGGCCCTCAGTATGGGATCAGTGCTCTTATACAAAATGACACTAGAGAGCTTGCTTCCCCTCTGTCTCCCTCTGCCATGTGAGGGCACAGGGAGAAGGCAGCCATCCATGAGTCAGGTAGAGAGCTCACACCAGGAACCAACCATGCTGGCATCTTGATCTCTGGCTTCACAGTCTCCAAAACTATGAGAAATAGATGTGTAAGGCTTCAGCCACACACAATATGGTATTCTGTTATGCACCCTGAGTGGACTAATAAAGGAAGCTTTGAGTTTTGATCACCTAGGTAAGCTGATTCATCCGTGAATGTGTCCAGGGGCCAGTTTCAAAGAAGACTTCCCATTAAAATCTTAATGTAAATATCAAGTGTTTTCAAAAACCCTCTCTCTAACTTAAGGGTAATATCACAAGAATTGGTACATTATGGGCCAAATCAGACTCGACTCACCACTCCCTTGGAAAACACATGGAGAACATGTTGAAGACATCCAATAGGATGACCAAATATCTAAAAGTCATGTTCAATTTTGAAGAGATTTTAGCCATCGGAGATGTTCCAGGGAGAGGGACAATCTTTCAGGGGACTTTTGCAAGGAGTAGGAATTCTGTTAGGGGAGACAGGTGACTCTCGGCAATTCTACTGGGGGCAGGCTGCAGACTTCAGAAGGGGCAGCATTGATGAGCAAGCCAGCAGGTCAAGTTCCAGAGCTGGACAGGAGGGCACACAAGGGAAGACGAGGGTAAGGATGCTGTCAGGCAAAAAGGTGCTGGGACTGGGCAGAAATGCTGGGACCTCTGTTCTCAAGGATCCTGGGACTCAGGAAGGATGAGCCCAGATTAATAAAGCTCACAGACAATACTGAAGTTGTGTTTGATTCTCGTCACCTTCCATCCTTAAGCCTGCTTTTAGATCTGGGCCTCAGGATCCTTTTGCTTACCTGAGAGACACCATGAGGACACTGAGGAGAGAAGTGGACTCTGGGCCAGGAGGTGGGCCACAGGCTGGAATGGGTGGGCACAGTGTGGGTTCTAGATGAATTCAGACCAGGGATCCCAGCCCCAACCCGTCACTTACTAGCACATGATCCTGGGACCTCAGGTTCTTCATCTCTGAAGTGGGCGGGTGTGAGGAGGCCCATCCCGCAGGACTGCAGGGGTGCGTGCGATGTGCGCCAAGCACCTCGCGCGGGGCGCCCTGCTTGTTGGAACCGCGATGATTGGCAGTTGCTTCTGATTTTCTTTGCCCCAGACCCTTCCACTCCCTCCTCTGGGACTTGGCTGGTTTGGTTTGTTATGCAGGTCATGTTAGAGAACACGCAGCTCAGTAGGATGTGGAAGAGCTAATCAGCCAAAAAGCATGTCTCCTAAATGGTACTAAGTAAATTCCCCCGATTAGAGGTTAGGCTACACTGAGGGGTGGGGGAGGGTTCCCAGCTGGACTCAACACCGAGCTCCTAGCAAGGGACTCAAGGAACAACCTTTGCCCCCTCCCAGCCACCCTTCCATCTGAACTGTGGCTTTCCTTCATTTCATGCCCACCAAAAATCTAGTCCTTGAGGACAATTGCCAACATTACAATCAAGGTAATTAAAACTTAATCACGCTTGGCTCATTAGTCAGCTCCCGAAGACCAGGGAAAGGAGAGCTTGACCACTGACTTCAGGGCACCACTTCAAGGGTGAGTGACTGTATTTCTGCAGAACTCTTCACAGAGGATCAGCATGAAATACTTACTACCTGATTGTGGTCAAGTGAAATGCAATAAACCCAGAACACCTTCCTTCCTGCTCCAGGAAGAGAAGTCTCTCTGGATTACACTTGATCCAAATGGACGTCTCAGAGCAATGTCCCAATTCAGTCTTCTCTCAAACCGAAAACAGGCCTTCCTCAAGTCTGCTCGCTGCCACCACCCAGAATCATTAACGTCACCTCCCACAAAAGCAAGCTCAGTTTCCAAAACTCCCAGCCGCCCTGGT